CATGGCAGAAAAAATGGAAGAGTAAGGAGGAGGATGAAATTACTCATAGTCCCCCAGTGCAGAGGTAAGCATGGTGCACACTGCTGTATTTCTTTACAGTGTGTGGTGTGTGCACACACAATGTCCCATTTTTACACGGTTTAACATCCAGCATATAGTCTCATACTCTGCCTTTTCTCCTTCCAATAGATCATGACAATTCTCCTTTGTTCTTTGAAATGACCCTTGATAATATTCTATTTTATGGCCGTGACATTTATTCACATTGTGTCCAGATTTTGTAGTGACACTTAACACCACCGTGAACCTCCTTACACATATTTTTGCATATTTCTGATGTCTCTACAGTACACGTCATGCAAGAATTGTGTCAGAAGGTCAACAATATCTTAAAATGAATATTACATAAAATAACCAATTGGACACAGCTCAAATTACCCCCATAAGTATTATACCAACAACTCTCCTATTTCAACACCAAGAAATAGATTTTTTATATAAGCAACATAGGAAGATCCCAGATAGGCTTTCCTAAATTTAGGATGAGGAAAAAAAGTCACCTTTACTTTAATGATACAGAACAATTCTTATACTGCCACCCCTGTCCATCTGATGCTCAAAAATTGCCTATATATGGGGCAGTGCTTCTGATGCAAAAAACCCCAGTTAAGTAAATGCTACAGGACGTTTTTAGACTATGTTGATCTCCCCACTTTGACACCAGGGTTTCTTTTTACCTTGTCCTTTTGGCCCCAAGAACCTCTTAGAGGTTCATGCATGCAGGGTTGTTGACATTTAGATAGTGCATTAATGATATTGATGAATTTCTGTTGAGAAAAATACTTTTTCACAATATACTCTGAAGCCAATTTAGTCCCTTGGTCAGTAGTCTACATTTCACGATTAAACAATCTATTTGCCCACCAAAAATCTAAATTTATGTTCATCAAGATCAGTTCTTGACCGATGAAACTTTATGACAGAGATTTAGTTCACTGATTTCTTGTTGATCCATATCAACTAGTACTGACCGTAATTACTGCTTTTGGGAGATTTCTTTTGTGGACTTTTTTGAAAAACCAGGTTCAACTTTTCCTGTGTCAAATTAGGCCATTCTCAACTGTGTCGAGTAGGTTTTATTCTTTCAACAGCTTTTGTCTTATTGGTGAGTACTATTTCTACTGATAGTTTTTTTGTCATAAACTACTGCCTTTTGAGGGGAAGTGACAGATCAGAGAATCATTTCTGTGAGTGGGTGTTGGTAGGAGAGAAATCCCAAGCAATGATGAGAAGAGACAGAAGACACCCATGGGCACATATTGTGCCTATTTTAACATGTTGCTTAGGGCCACCCTGGTCCCCCACGCCCTCTCTCACTATGGTGCAAACAGTTTTATGTCTCCAGGACACAGACTCTCTCTAGTCCCTTGAAGCCAAACTTGTGATTCATAGACTCTGAAGGGAGTCGCATACGTACACCAAGACCCTGACTGCTCTCCAGGTCTTCTTGTTGACCTATCTCATTTCCCACTCTCTCAACCTTCCCACCATTCTACTCCCCACCTCCTTCCAGTCTCTCTTTGTCCTGTTTCTCTCTTGCTGTCTATTCTCTCTCCCTGGTCCTTGCTATATTGAAATGAACCTTTAAGGGAGTGTTTAAATACACCTGACAGCCCATCACTGTCCCCTTACAGGAGTGCACATCTGACAAGTCTCTGTTTTTCTCTCTTCCATGCAGATGAGATGGTGGAGTCTTATGAGCACTTGGCCCTCAGGGTTTTACACTCATGGGAAGATATCCCAGAGGTTGGGTGTAGGCTGGTTCCTGAGCACATAGAAACTCGGCCACTCTACCACAAGGATAAGCCAGGAATGGAGCAGGTAGGGGCCAAAACAGTTCTGGTCCCAGTGGGAGTGTGCATCCTTGAGGAATGTGACTTCTCCTCTGAAAGTGGATCTTGTGTGCCCCGTAGCAATGGTTTTCAACCAGGGACAACCTTGCCCCTGCTACCCCAGACATTTAGCAGTGTCTGAAATATCTTTGGGTGGGTAGGGCAGCTACTGGTGGCTAGTGGGTAGAGGCCAGAGATGCTGCTGAACATCCTATTCTGTAAAAGACAACATCCCACATCAAAGAGTTATTCAGCCCCAAACAACAACATTGAGGTTGAGAAACTGCCCTAAAGTCAGAGTTGAATTTACTGCTTTTTCCTTTTTATGATTTGAGTTAGCCAACTCTTTCAGAAGAATCCTGACATCTGAGAAACTTCAAAACCCATCTGATATGGCCAAGACCTTGTCCAAAATCTATCAGTAACCACTCAGCCCACTAGTTTTCCCAGAGAAGCAGTAGATGGAGGCTCGCCTTGAAGAACTGGCAAGAAAAAGCTGCATGGGAAAAATAGAGATCTGGGTTACGAATTAGAACAGAAGAGAAGACAAACTTTAGCAAAAAGCCTTTGATGTCCTAGGCCCTTTACATAATCATCTTGCCTCATTAGGATGGCCATTGATTTATTTATCCAAATTGTGGCCATTCTGAGAGTGAAAAAGGACACTATTAATAATTAAGCTGATACAAGGGACACACACCAGGATTTTCCTAGACAAACAGGGGTGTGTGGGTCACCTTACCCCCATTTCTTAACACAGCTGCATGATGGAATTATTATGATCCTGACTTTTAAGCTGAAGAATTGAGATTCAGAGTGTTTAAGTAACTTGCTCCAAGTTACTCTGCTGGTTAAGTGGTAGAGCTGGGATTTAACCTGGACAGTCTGAGTCCCTTCCCAGCTCTGGACCCATTCACTGTGTAACTTGGACAAAGCACAGGAGCTTGGCTATAATAGGCCAGGAACACCCACACTGCTATCCCCCCAGTGCTGGGGCATGAACTTCATGACAGCATGTGTCAGGGAACGTCTTGGAAGGATAAACTTTCATCAGCTGTAGGAGCTTATGATTATTTCCTAAGATTTACCACCAGATGTTTGAAATCTTTTGTGCACTGTTATCCTTCACTTTGTCTTCAGATGTGACTTCTTGATTAAAGGTGCATGTAAATGACTCTTTGCAGAAACCTTGGAATATAACCCTCCATTGAATTGGCTCTTCTCTTCCAAAACACTGACTCTGCTTAAATTGTCCCTTCCCATGGAAATTCTCTTTTTTTTAAATATCCTAAGCCCCATGGGCAAGATATTTTCTCATTTGCCAAGTAGGAGTGGCAACATCTACTTAATGGGGGTATTGGGAGAATGAATGAGCGCATGCTTTTCAAGTGCATAGCACTGTGTCTACACATAGTAGGTTCTCAAGGTTCTCAAGTAGTAAAGGGTTGTTAATCCTTCCCTTCCTCTCGATATATGCTCTAATTTTTAATAAAATATTAGTTCTGTCTTTGTCAACAAATATTCTAAATATAACATGGATAATATCCATATATTGTATTATATGTACCTAATATCCATTTTCTAGGAAAGGGATCTGTTAAAACCATGAACAGTCAGTTGTCAATGTGGTAACCACCAACCCCCTGCCAAAAAAAAAGAAGCTAAAGAATGTCTTCTTTTCTTAACAAGGGCCGCCTGCAGATGTGGGTGGACATGTTTCCCAAAGACACACCTCAGCCTGGCCCTCCTGTTGACATTTCGCCAAGGAAACCCAGAGGGTGAGTAAGCTGCAGCCCCGCATTCAAGGAAAGAGAGCGTGGCCGCAGACTAAAAGATCGTGACCTTTGATCAGGTGTCTGGTACATGACATTGGCCAATTGACACCTGCTAATCATGCCTCACTTTCCACCTGGCCGCCAATTACAGGAGGAGCTGAGTGGTGGTGGTAAGTCATTGAGGTGGTGATTGAAATGGCGGCCCCTGTCTTGTGGTAGGAGCCACTGAGTTTCAACATTCTTCAGCATTCTGAAAAATGTTGGTTAATGGGAGGAGGATCTGCTCCGAGAAGTTCATGTCCCTGGTGATTTCAGCTGGGACACTTGGTTTTGATAGAATGAAGACTTTAAGTACTGATATTTTTGAACGTGGTAAATTGAGGAAGTTTATGGATTCAAAGCAATACCAGAATCACATAGACACCAAGAGACTCAGCTTTCAAGGTCTATCAACCTAAGTCTGCTTTCCCTCATGCCAGGTATGAACTGAGAGTAACCATCTGGAACACGGAAGATGTCATTTTAGAGGATGAGAATATCTTCACAGGACAAAAATCAAGTGATATTTATGTTAAAGGGTAAGATCATCAACAGACACCAGCCTCCCTTTCCTTCCCGTCCTCGCCTCTTTAATCCCCCAACTAAACCTATGCTTTGGGGAAGATCCTCCACCCACATCCCACAGAAGGAATCCATCTTACTTAGCCTTGTTAGTCACTTTCTTTGTCAAATATTTGCCTTATTCAGTCGTTATGCTAAGAATGATTATCTCATGAAAACATTTTTGTGAGGGACTCTTATTATATAAACATCTCTTTCAGTTAAATGGTAAATGCGTAAACTTTTTAAGTGACATTCCAAATACCCTTACACCAGAAGGAACTATCGAGGTATAGTTCTATTGATGAAACGTTAGGTGTTAAGAAAAATTATAAGCCTCAAACAAAAGCTCAAATTTAGCACACAGGAAGGTGTAGTTTTACTGATTAAAAACAGAAACCAACCTAGGACTCAGGAAACTAAGCATTTTGTCTCTCTCATATCTTGGCTATAATACAAATGCCTTTGTAGGCTTCCTTTCAGCCCCTAGTCAGGGAGGGAGATGAGGTGGCAGGGAATCAGAAGCAAAAGTGATGTAAACATGTACCCTCAGATAAAACTCATCTCAGAAGCAGGAAACTCATCTCAGTCTTCTCTTGGTATCTCTTTGATTTCTTCTTCCTCACTGACACTCCCATTTCTAATCTGCCAATACGTTTTGTTCACCCACCCAAATAGCTGTCAGCTCCATCCATTCTCTCCCTCTTCACCACACCACCATCATTGTCTTCTCCTCCACCATCTCTTGCTGGGGCCATTGAAATACCAGTACTATCTAGACTGGTCTTCCCATATTCAGTCTTGCCTCCAATACCCTGTTCTCTATGTTGAAACCTGAGTTATCTTTTCAAAATTCAGTCTGATCATATCAGCCAGTCCTGTACTTTAAACCCTTTAATGACATCCTGTTTTCCCTGGACGAAGATCCATATCCCTCATATGCCCTAAAATACCACATATGACTAGCCCCTGCCTCTCTTTCCAGACACATCTCACTGGATCAATATCCACCCCCCTCCTTTCTGCTCTCTAGTCACACTGAGCATCTTTCTCTTCCTTCTTAGAATGTATCCTCACCTCTTCTTCCATAGGGACTTTGCATTTCCCTCCCTGGTGACTTCTGCTACCCTACCTCTATCCCACCATCCTCTTCCCTCCATGACTGTAGCTCCATGAAGGCAAGAACCATCTCTGTTTGTTCCACGCGACTCCCCTAGCATCGAGCTCACTCCTTGCCTCATACCAGACACCACATGTCTACTGGTTGACCAAGCACCATCTTTAGCTGAATAATTGTGTCTGTATCCCAGGTGGTACCACTCCTCTGGGAAGAGGAGGATCCTTACCCCCACTGCCCAGGGTGGGTTGGGATGGGGGAGGGCGATCGGCTTTCAGAAAACAAGTGGTTCGGCATTAACAGTTAGCTTGAATTAGAAGTCCCTATTTTCTCAATAATTAATTCACTATGAGTAAAGTACTAGGAGGAAATGGGATTCGCTGCAGCTTACTTTATAGCGGGCATGGAGGAGAAAGACCAGATAATTAACACAATAGATCACTTGGAGTATGCAAAGCATTCTACATCTATTATCTCATATAATTCCTTAGAATTCCTATGAACTAGATACCGTCATTGCTTCCATTTTCCAGATGAAACAGAGGCACAGAGAGGTTACATAACTTATCTGTGGCTGCACAGTTAGTAAGCAGTAGAGCCAGGTGGGTGCAGTCACTCTCCTACCCCACACGCCACACTGATACAGGCCTACTGGATCTTTGAGGCCCAGAACCAGAGGGGAGGAGGTCAATTACAGGCTTGATGTCATGGGTCTAAACCAGGCCAGCTTTAGAGGCCTCAATGTAGTGGGTGCAGAAATGGCATCCCTTGCAAAGAAGGCTCCCAGGGTTAGAGGAAATAGACTATACTTTCATTTCACATTTCCTGCATTTTTCCCTCCTTACTGCATGGGGTTTCAGATCTACCCAAGGACAACTGAAGGCAGTTCCCCAACCTGACTTAGAATAAGAGTCTTGTTTCTGGTTCAGACCCTTCGATCCTGATTTACCTCTTTCAGATTCAATGGACACTTCCACCCGAATCGAACTTATATCAACGTTTTAAAACCATGATCCGTGGCCACAATGAAACTAGTTAAAAATCACTGTTGATTATACTGACGCCTGAATAATGGGCTCTGAGTGTTTCATTCTTTTTCTGTCTTTGCTCAGGTGGTTAAAGGGTTTGGAAGACGACAAGCAGGAGACAGACGTGCACTACAACTCCCTGACTGGCGAGGGGAACTTCAACTGGCGCTTTCTGTTTCCATTTCAGTATCTCCCAGCCGAGAAGCAAATGGTCATCACCAAGAGGGAGCATATATTTTCCTTAGAGAAGACGGAGTGTAAGACGCCCGCTGTGCTGGTGCTTCAGGTTTGGGACTTTGAAAGGCTGTCCTCAGATGACTTTCTGGGTAAGCCACTGGCTTCCTCAAGCTCACATTAATGTTAAGGGTTTTGTCCCAGCTCCTGGATAGCTTGGTCTGAGTTAACCACAGGGATAATAATCTTGATACTACTTATGATAGCAAAATATTGAAACACTCCAAATAGCCATTACTAGGGAATTGGCTTGGTAAGTTATGGGGCATCAAACAGACTTACGTTGAGCTTTGCTCTACCGCTAAGAGGCTGTGAAATTTTGAACTGATTGCAGGTCTCTTCTGTACCTCGGTTGTAAAATGGGGATAATACTATCACATGCCTCAGAGGGGAGCTCTAAATGTGATACTGCAACTTTTTTTTAAATGGGAGGAGGGTATAGCTCAGTGGTAGAGCAGGTGCTTAGCATGCACGAGGTCCTGGGCTCAATCCCCAGTACCTCCATTAAAATAATTATATATATATATATATATATATATGTGTGTGTGTGTGTATATATATATATATATATATATACACACACACACACACATACACAAATAAAAATAAACCTAATTACCTCCCCCAAAACAATCTTTTAAAAACTTAAAAAAATATATTGGTGCTGACCAAAGAAAAGTCTCAGATCCCCACTGAAAATGATAGTTTCACTTCTCAGAAAAACGCACGTGCATGAATTTATGCATACTGCTTCAGAGGCTCCAGACACCTTCTAAGGTCCAGTCACCAAGGTCAGGTTCAGACGCCTGGCTCTCAACACTCCCAGGAAGATCTGAAGAATGAGAGACCCTCCCTTCCCTGCAGTCTCTATTTCTCCTGTTGAGTCAGGGAGGGGAGCCAGTGCTTCATGCACAGTAAGCATTCAGTAAGTGATAACCCTGCCGCCATTAAAAATATTAGAATATTTAATGATTTGGATAGTTATGCAGGGTGCATTCAGTGGAAAAAAGAGCATAGAAAAAAATCCCCCTTCGGTTAAAAATACATTTATATAAGAAAAAGAGATAGAGATAGAGATCGCCCAAGAGACAGAGAGATAGACTAACGTAAGGGTATGAACTAGTAAGTAGAGCAGTGGTCAACTTTTGGGGGATGAGATTAGAGAAAATGTTTCTATTAATTTTTTGCTCATGTGCATGCTCTAAATGTTCAAGTTAACAAATACTACTTTTGTAATAGGGAAAGGCTATTGAAGAGAGAACATTCACATGGCACTACCTTACTCTGCCTTAGATTCACTCGCTGAAGATACATTGTTGAAAGCTAGTGACTACAACAAAAAAGCAGCAGACTCACAGATACAGAGAACAAACCAGTGGTTCCCAGTGGGAGGGCAGGGGCAACATAGGGGTGGGGGAGTGGGAGGTACAAGCTGTTGGGTGTAAGATGGGTTCAAGGGGAATATAGCCAATATTTTGTAATAACTGTAAGTGGAAAGTAACCTTTAAAAATTTTATAAAATTTTTTTAAAAATTAAAGAAAGAGAAAATACATTGTTGATAGCCCACTAAAGTACTAGAGAGGAGCTACCAAGACAGTAAGACTTAGTCCCAGGCCTGGAGGAGTTTAGTGGACTCAAAGAGGTGTTGAGGGGGGAAAGGTTCTTATCGGCTGATCTGTGCCAAGCCAGGGAAGGGCTCAAAGGATAGGCAAGTAATCCAGGCGGTCCTCAGGGAGCAGAGAAGAGGGGCAGCAGATGACACCTGAAACAGGGGCTTGAAAGTTCCATATAGGTAGCTCTGCCCTTGTCTTCTGCCTGCTGCCACATTATTAATGTTTTAAATGCACCAGACATGCCTTGGTCATATTTGTGCCCCCAAGACCTAGCACATGCTGTTGAACCCATGTGGTCCTGACTGAATGACTGGTGAGGGGATGGATGAACAGGTGGGTGAATGAGGATGATGATGGCTTTTAACGCCCTCCTATAACCATTAAGGGCATCTCTTCACAGGCTCCCTGGAAATGAACCTCAACAGCTTCCCCCGAGCAGCTAAGTCTGCCAAAGCCTGCGATCTCACCAAGTTTGAAAATGCAAGTGAGGAGAGCAAGATTTCCATATTCCAGCAAAAGCGTGTGCGGGGCTGGTGGCCTTTCGCTAAAAGCAAAGAACTCACAGTAAGTGACAACTGTAGGAGATAAGGGGGGGTGGGTGGCAAGCAGGGGACCTCATGCTCTTTAAATGAGTCATTTTGTAAACTTCGAGTCAAATGCCTTGAAATGTCATAGAGCCCTTCAGGGCAAAGTTTCTGCTGAGAAGCAAGAATTTTGAAAAATTTATAAATGCATTAAGACTTCCATATTTCACCATCCTTGATTTAATAGTGATCTATGTCAGGGTGGTTTTCTATCCTCTTGGCTTGAACTTATGCCCCTGGCATTATTTTTTTCCCCCAACATTTCTTGAAATTATGCATAAAGTCCTGGCTAATGTACCATTTTAATGCAACTGCTTCATCCCTTCACCCTCAAACGCAAGACTCAATTTAAAAAGTGATCCATCCTTTTAAAACTTCCTTGAGGGGATGACAGCAGAAAGCAGAGCCATTTACTCCACTCTCTGCCTTACCAAGCTGGTCCATATTATGTGTCACATGCTATAGGAATTCAGATCTTTCACAAATAGTGGGAAGAAAGTTTCTCCTGCTCTTTTTTTCAGCACCCCCTCCTCTCTGCCACTGTCACTCCTCTGTAAGGGAGGGTGGATGGTCCCTCCTTTACAGACGTGGTAGAAAGTTGGATGATCCCAGAATAAAATAGTGTAATGGAAAACCTCAACCTCGGGTCTGTCATTTCCTAAGGTACTTCCCCTCCTCAAGTCTCAGGGTTGGTTTTATTTTTATTTTCCTCACTTAAATCCAATAGACTACCAGTTACTTCTCCAGCAAAAATGAGCTATTTGAGGTCAACAAAGAATTGCCATTTGAGGTCTGCAACCATGGCTAGCCACGGGCAAACCTCCAGCAACAATGGACAGGAGAACTCTTTTATAGAGGGGAAGAGGAAGTTGGGAGCCCTAGAGTAAACAGAGTCCATGGCTTTTCATTGGCTGCATCATGACTGTCTCTCACTGGCTGGAGAAAAGAGAAACTCTTCTTCCCATTGGGCTCTGCTATCAGCAGAGGGCTCCGCTAACAGCACCTCCTTCTGGCCTCTCAATTCTATTTTAATTCAGGTTTCTGTTCATTCATTTTTACAGTTTCTGTGTCTATAGAATGAGTAGCTTGAACTGGGTACCTCCAAGATGTGTTTCCAGTAAAGACATTTTCTAATTCCAACTCTATATGAACTCCCCTCCCGTCCCT